GATGTGGGACTCGATCCCAGGACCCTGGAATCATGACCTGAGCCAAAGGCAGACGCTTAACGACTGAGCCACGCAGGCGCCCGAAATTGTCTTTTTTCTTAAGAGAGGCAGGCTAATGTGTTCACCAGTGAAGTCACACATTACTACTTCATTTCAAATGGTACAGCAAAAAAAAAAAGAAAAACATCTATATCTGCAAGGCACATGGGGATTCACTGTATTGTTCTTTCCATTCTTTTGCACATTTGCCACTTTCATAATTAAAAGGTGGAAAAAAGAAAGCTGGGAAATGGTGTTTAGGATGGAGGGAAGGGGGCAGGGAAAAAAGGGGAAACTTCATTTGGAATATATCCTAAATGGTGAAATATTAAATTTGAAAGACAGAATATAGTAGTAAAAGAGAAAACAAGTATCATAAGAAATACCAGAATGTAAGGATGTGAATTTCTGAAGAAAATGGTTCTCTCTCAAACAGAGGTAATACACAGTCATGAGAGCTCTAGGGAAACAAGTATAATTCCAAGAAAGAATGCTGGGACTGGACTCAAATGTTTTAATCTGCCATCTGAGTCATAGCTAAAACAATTCCATGGCAACAGAACAGATCACATTCAGACAAGCGAGCAGCCTGCGCGCTGGTCTAGCCCTCCTCACTAGATGATAAAATCACTGCTCTGGCGAGGCTGAAAAGATCAACATGAATACTAATAGAAATGATAAAGTATGGCTGTCACATTGCCTCATTTTCTTTGGTAAAAGACCAAGAGTATGCTTTTATAGCCCAAAGAGGTCTGCACGCTTTGGGTGCAGCAATATTTTCATCTAGAAGAAAAGTTCTTAATAGGATGAACTTGTTACTAAATCAGTTTGTTACTGAAGATAATAAGCATTTCTTCCATAAGGACACTGATATTAGAGCTTGGTGTCAGGGAGGGGAAATCCTACTCCTTCCTTTTGTTAAGTGTGTTCCATTAAACATGGAGCAAACTTCAGGGCACAATATAATCATCCGGGATGCTGATAAAATGCAGGTTCCTAAGCCCTGCGCCCCGTGGCTGTGATTCCATTGCCAAAGGTGAGTGGGGGTAGTGGTGGAGAATGTGTACTTGTTCAAGGATCCCTGGGGGATTCTGAGGCAGGTACTCTGAGGTTCATTTACAGGTCTGGGCTGCAACATGCAGCCAAGTTTGGGATTAGATATGATGATACAGTGAGGAGTTACTGAACTGGGAATCAGAAAATCTGGGGGACAGACTTGTCACTAATTTATTCCACTTTGGGCAAGTTCTTGTCTCCATACCTCAGCTTTCTCATGTGTTTAATGAGGATAATACTCCCCCCCAATTACTGTACCTTGCATACATGCTAATTTATACAAGGGTGACTTAAAGCATGAAGAGCATAACAAATAAGCATCAGACCTTTGAGAAGGGAGCCTTTAATCTAATTCAGTGAACTTAGTATTACATGTCATATTCCTGACAAGAGCCAATTACGGATTGCTCTTTTCTCTTTCCTTTTAGGCTTACCTAATGAAAGTAGTGCTAGAGTAAAGTGACATTGTTCTTATTTATCACCTGCCAATTCCCCCAACCCCGACAAAAGAGAAAGCACAGAGACAATGAGGACATCCCTTAAGTATGAAAATTACATCTAGAGGAGGTTCCATGTCTTAGAATGTTTCTTACCAAGTCTATGAGTTTGGTGACAGGAACTTCCCGGATTGGTCTTTTCATTCGGCACAAAGCCTCTAAGGATGTACCAAAACAACTTGGGAGGTAATTTCCACTAATGGTCAAGAAGTAATCTTTGCCTCGATCCAGGTGAAGGACTAGAATATCTTCAATCTTATCTTCCCCTGAATTCAGGATGGTCACAGAGTCTTTGCTGACATACACATCAAGGGAAATGTCCACTGTCTCATCTGAAATGTAAGAAATGACACATGGTAACAGAAACTTCTGGTGGAAGAGCAAAAGGGAGATGAGAACCAACAGAAGTCGTGCCCTCTAAAAAATCACCAAATGATGGAAGAGACACTGGACACACAGAAGAGGTCTCCCCAATATAATGACAATGAAGGTAAGAGACATGTGGTTAGAAAACAAGAAGTTAAACAAAGGGAGGCATGGGAGTCATGGGGAGATGGTACATTGCAAGCAGAGACAATGGTAAAGGGACAACTCACTTGGCTCCAAGTAGCCCTCAAAAGGTTCAGCCCGAAGCCATGGCTTGCAGTACTGGCTGTCATTAAGTTTAGGGATGAAAGAAAAATGGCAGGGAACCTGTCCATTGTTGCTGATCTGGAACTTCTCCTTTTGTAGTTGCCGAAACTTCACATTCTCAAACACAAACTGGGGAATAACAGACAGACACAAACATGCATCACTAGTAGGGGGAGTATGTCAGTTGGATTATTCCATAGAGAATATGAATAAAGAATAAAGTAATTATTAACCAGGTGTGCAACTGCTGTATGCATTCACCAACTGAGCCAGCTGTACACCATGCCCTCTCATTTCCTACTGTATTCACACCAGCAGAGGAGGAATTAGGCAGCTCTTGCTACTTCTCTAGGCTACTCTGATTGTTCCTGAGATCCTAAGAGGGTAACCCAACCTTGGGTCAGGACATTCATCCCGTGACCAAGTCAGTCCTGGTTCCTGAGGTATGAACTAACCAGCAACTCTGAAATATTAAATAAGAGCGGGTAACATCTGAGGGCTTACTTTGTGCCAGGAGCTGTTTTAAGAGCTTCACATGTATTAACTCATGTAGTCCGCACAACCACCCCTTTAACCAGAAAAGGAAACTGTGGCTCTGAGAGAGTTAGACATGCGCCTCTAAATGACAGTGCTGGAATGCAAATGGCGGCAGTCTGACTCCAGCACACACGGTTTTCACCACTTCGCTGTACCGCCTCCTCCACCAAACATGGTTTCCACTGTACTAACCGTGATGGGCAGTAGATGGGGAAGCCATGTATTTTTGCTCACCTCCCTCCTGCTGAGTTCTAAGGAAGGAAGGAAGTCATTTTCCATCCTGTCCATAATGCGTACAATATCTTCAAACACTTTCCGATACCTCCGTTCATCCACAACCTTTACCTGAAAGAAAACAAACCCTCTTCTCAGTCTTACATGCTCCTAGCTCATCTTCCCTTGAGACTACCTAACAATTTAAAATGGGTTGTTACGGCAATCATTTAAAATAAACCGTGGTGCAAACAACATCCTCACTTTCTGAAATATCACTCCATCCACAACTTTTACCTCAAAGAAAACAGATCCTTATTTTAGTCTTGTGTGTGCTCAGCTTGAATCTCTAAGAGTCTAACAATTTTTTTAAATGTCACTAAAACAAATATAAATTAAAGTAAGCATTATAGCATTACCCACTTTATGGTAAAGATAAGGTTAATTGGTTAACTTGCTGGAAAAGTCAAACCTCGGTGCTAAGAAGCTTGGCAGTAGTATTTGGGAAAATTACTCTCTTGCTCCATTGTTATTTGGTGGTGGGGGAAATGTGACAATTGTGGCAGAAATTATTTCCTGCGTTGCATAAAATAAGTGTCGAGACATACCTACTACTGTTTCTAACAATGATCACAAAGCATTGAAACAGCAGAAAAAATGACTGAAGCATTTAATTCTATTAGCTGCTATGCACAATGCCAAGAATCATAACGTCAATGCACAGATTATATAATGCTAAAGGTATGTTAGTAAATAGATCTTATGGCCATTTTAGAAAATGGCCAATACAAAATGCCCTAGATTAGAGTAAAAGCATGACAACGGACAAACAAATCATTTCAACTAATAGATCAAAACCATTTCCCATCTGACACAGCATATTTGGCTTCCTGATATAGCTGTGTGGTTTTTTTTTCACTATTAAAACTTCATACAAATCAATGCCAAAAATGAACACAATTAACATAGCATTTTAACTTATTGAGGTCCCGGTTTCTTTTTAGAATAGGAAAATTTACAAATTCAGTATCAAAAAAAAAGGACTGATGCATGTAGAAGAGGTTGTAAATCAAATGTGGAAAATAAGAGCATCAAAGCTGAGCCAAATATCTCAAAGACTGGGAAGGTTTTTACAAATCTAAACCATAACGCTTAGAGAAATGAGGAACAAGCAATCACTAGAGTCCACACTATAGTGTTAGGTTAAGAGGAATTTTATACTTTTAAAATATTTTTATAAAATTTTGCAACTGCTTTTTCATAAAGTATTTTACATGTGTCATCTTTTCACAACAACCTGCAAAGCTACCAAAGCAAGGATGATTCTTCTGATCGTTGAGAATATCGAGATATAAAAAGATCAACTAAGTTTCTCCCTGCCACAGTTAATACCAGAAGATGTATCTGGACCTCTAGTGCAAGACCATTCCCAAAATACCAGGTATACAACAGGATTAATTCAGGTAGGTCTTAAAGATACAGATGCCTTGGGGCGCCTGGGTGGCTCAGTCATTAAGTGTCTGCCTTTGGCACAGGTCATGATCCCAGGGTCCTGGGATCAAGCCCCACATTGGGCTCCCTGCTCGGCGGGAAGCCTGCTTCTCCCTCTCCCACTCCCCCTGCTTGTGTTCCCTCTCTCGCTGTGTCTCTCTCTGTCAAATAAATAAATAAAATCTTTAAAAAAATACAAAAAAATACAGATGCATTGGCCTACTGCAGTTTTTAAAACCTCCCTAGGCAATTTCTATGTCCACCAAAGTCTGAGAACCAGTGCAACAGATCTCATTACCAAGTACCGGGGTGGAAACCCTATCTCAGCTTAATCTCAGCCAGCCCACAGCACATCTTCTAAAGTTAATTGGCCATTGAGCACTTGGTCCCTTTGTTAACAGTCACTGATAACAATAGTGGTAAAAATATAATGTGTTTTTTAAAGCCTCTAATCATAGCATCCCCAAGAGACCAAAATATGGGGTGGTTACTCAATAAACTCAAAGCCTTTCCTCAGTGGGTTATCATGATCATACCCCTTAATGGCACATCAAGGATAATGAAGGGGAAAACACCACAGAATGTCACCACCTGATACACCCACTTTAGAAAAGGAAATTACCAACAAAATTAGGAATTAAGAATGAGCTAGATGATCAATGAGCTAGATCTTTAGGTAATAACATGGGTAGCTCTCCAAGACACACTACTGATTTTTTTTAAAAGCGAGCTGCAGACCAACACATGAGACCATTTATAATATTTGTACCCACACACAGAACAATACTCTATTGTGTATGGGCCAACAGAAAAACATAGGCAAAAGTCTAGAACTGTGCTGTTCAAGATAACAGCCAAAAGCCACATCTGGACATTTAAATATACATTACTTCACATTAAATAAAATAGAAAATTCAGCTCTCTTGGTCACACTAGCCAAAGTTCAAGTGATCAAGAGCCACCTGAAGTTAGCAGTATTGTACTGGACAGTATAGATCTATATATATCTATTTCCACCATCACAGAAAGACCTATTGGACTGTGCTGGTCTAGAAAGATAAATTCATAATGGTAGTTGGCCTGGCTGGGAAGTGGGGGTCTTGGGCAAAGGTGGGAGTGGGGGATAGAACAGGGATTGAAGAACTCCAGCCTTATCTGTAAATTTTGCTTACATTTTTTTTTTATTTTAAAGAAAACACACTTTTGAATTCCTGTGCAATTTAAGTAGTATTAAAAACTAGAAAGGTAGACCTTTATTAAAGATATGCAAAAATACACACAGGAAGCTTGGAAAAATTTTAAATATCCTGCTGGGAGCTCTGGATTAATATGTGTGGAATATTACAAATATTCCTAAGTTCTGAAAAGAAATACAAACAAAAAAGCCAAGCACAGCCGATTAAACCAAAAAGGTTAGTGTCTGGGGAAAGACATCCTTTTAAAAATGGATTAAGAGAGGGGCACCTGGGTGGCTCAGTCGTTGGGCGTCTGCCTTTGGCTTGGGTCGTGATCCCAGGGTCCTGGGATCGAGCCCCATATCGGGCTCCCTGCTCAGTGGGAAGCCTGCTTCTCCTCCCTCTCCCACTCCCCCTGCTTGCGTTCCTGCTCTCTGCTCTAATTAAAAAAAAATCTTTAAAAAAAATGGATTAAGAGAATCCAAATGAAGAAAACAGGGCAGCCCACAAGTACAAACGAGAAATTAGGTGGGCTAAAAGTAGTATCCAAAGGTTTATCTAGTCAGTAAGTTCTCTGGAACTATAGAGGCATTGTGGGGTTAGTGGAAAGAACATCTACAGGCTTGGGAGTTAAACAGACAAGATTTGAATCTTAGCTCTCCTTCTAGTTGAATGCTTGTAAAGTTATTTAAACTCATCGGTTCTCCATTTGCTCATCTGTTAAATGAGAAATATTGAACTCAAAGCACTGTTGTGAGGAGTAAATGAGATGTGTGTAAATTGTCCATTACAGTTCCCAACACATACTAGCTACTATTTGAGAAACACTATTATTTACTATCATTTTAAAATTTCAAAATGGACAAAAGTCAAGTCACAACTGCCTTTAGATTTAGATTCTAAGACCAAGACCTAATTTTGTAAATAAAGGAAATACCTCAAAGTCATTCCCCTTTAAGACAGGAGTAGAACAAGACATGTTGGTGATAATCTGAGAAGCCAAAAGAATCAAATATACATCTATTATGTTCTTCACATGTCTTACCTCATTAATCCTCATAAGTAGTACCATTGTTATCCCTATTTTATAGAGGAGGAAACTGAGGCACAGGGCTGTTACAGATATTTTCCATGATTACACAGTTAGAAAGTGGTTGAACTGGGATGCAAATCTAAGCAGTCTATCCGTAAAGTCCACCCTATCAAGCACAGCACTTTATAGATTCTGACAGATTACATGACTGTAGGTCTGGAAAATCTACAAGAAATAATCTAAATGTACTAGCTGTAATAAATCAATAAGATCCCAAGACATAACCTGCATACTATTAATAGGCAGCTAAAATATACAATGTGAAAACAAAAACTACTCACAACAGAGACAAAAAAATTAAATAACTGGCCATCAATCCAGCCAGGATGCAACAGAGTTAAAGAAAAATTTAAAACTTGTGCTCCTGGGGGCGCCTGGGTGGCACAGTGGTTAAGTGTCTGACTCTTGGTTTCTGCTCAGGTCATGATCTCGGAGTCCCGGGATAGAGCCCCGTAGCAGGCTCCACACACTCAGCGTGGGATCTGCTTGGGATTCTCTCCCTCACCCTCTCCCTCTGCCCCTCCTGCTCACACTCTCTCTCTCTAAGATGAATAAATAAATCTTTTTTTTTAAAAAAAACTTTTTATTTATTTATTCATGAGAGACAGAGAGAGAGAGAGAGAGACAGGCAGAGAGAGAAGCAGGCTCCCAAGGAGCAGGGAGCCTGATGCGGGATCCCAGGACCCTGGGATCATGACCTGAGCCGAAGGCAGACGCTTAACCATCTGAGCCACCCAGGGGCCCATGAATAAATCAATCTTATAAAACATTTAAAACTTGTGCTCCTGGACAGGAAAATTTCACTAATAGTATGGCTGACAACACGCCTTTTAAGGTAAGATACAGATTTGGTTGTATGCCGACCAGTCTATGCCTTTGCTCCTGCTGGCCCCACCCGTCCACTTGGAACCTCTCTCCCAGGGCTTCCCTTCCTTACTATTTATCTGATGAGAGGCTACTTGTTCTTTAAAACCTAGCTTCTAACTCTTCCTTATGTATAACAACTTTAGGAGGCTAAGGTTACCACCCAGCCATTATGCAGCATGAGAAACATCTGTGTCACTAAAAGGCCTAGCACATTAAGAACCATATGGACAGCATTTAGGAGGGTTGAGGGCACTAATTTCTCAATGTTGCAAATGATTATTTGGTTATGGTAACATTTATGGCTCAGTAAACTACTGATCTGTTTTGAGTCTAAATGATGTTCTAAGAAACTTTTAACACAGAAACAAATAAATGAACAAACAAATGTTTACCCCAATATGGAAGAGGGCGCTAACAGGCTTGTGGTCACTGGTTTTTAGTTCCATGTGACTCCGGTAATGAAGCTGATTAACATTTGTTCCTCTCCAAAGAATCCGGTCACACCAGGCTGGAACCCGACATTTCCCACTGCAAATAAAGAAAGAATTATAAAGGGAACATACCACACAAGAATGTAATACCTACCACACTGGTTCAGACCTGGATAGGCCATCTTTTATATGCTTCTCCTTCCCTAATGATCCCAACTATAATATTCCCTACTATATTCAAGGTCTGTAAAGAGTCTGTGTCTGCTTGTTTGAAACTGAATTCCCAACCTCGAGCACATTATCTTGTGCAAAGTAGGTGTTCAATGAATAGTTATCTAATGAATGAATAAACTGTGTTCCCAAAATTAGCATTACATCTTCAATAATGTTGTCCCAGGGGAAAATATAATAGCCCCTTCTTAAAATATCCTCAGAAGGTCAGGATTATATTCAGCACACTTTGCTCGATGAACTGCAGTGACATTTTACACAGATAGACAACTAATAAAAATCTAAAACTCCAGTCCTAAATTCCAAGATGGGGCTTAATTTCTGGAGATAATAGTAGAGATTTCCCCTTTAAACCTAGACTTTCATGACAAGTCTAGCTTCTTCAGATAGAGATGAACTAACATCTAAGCATGCAATTCTGAACATATAACAGCCCATAGATTACCAAGGTTAGGGAAAAAGCTTATTCATCATTCTATTAAAATAAGCAGCACCTTGTACACCTGATCCAGAAGGGGACACAAATAAGTTCTTATCTGTAGCTCTTCAAATGACTCTCAAGTCAGGTGAGTGGGAGAAACAAGGTGAAGTGTTACAAGATCTGTCAGTGTCAGATCCGCCCCCTCAGGGTACAGGGATACACACTCCTCTCCAACCCACCCTAGTGCTCTGAGTCTAAAGAAGTTGAATATGCCCAGGGATTTTCTTTCTCTTTCAAGCTTCTGGGCTCAGCCAGCTAGGACACCATAGGAAACAAAGAGATAGTAGGTAGAAGACAAATAGTTACCAGGAACATACTGACAGGGGGGCTTTACTGGGGGTAATTAGGAAATCAAAGCGCCCCCCCCCCGCACTAGACAGTAGCTCTTAGCTTTTTCTAGCAGTTGCAGAGGCAAGCATCAGTATTTTAAAAAGTCCCCCAAGAGATTCTAATGCGTAGTCAGGACTGAGAACCACTGTGCTGGAAGAACCTTTCATGGCTCACTTTCTGGGGTTCTGAATTAAGGAGTTGAGAAACAATTTGGAAAAAAACATTCAGAACAGGACAATCGGTAAGGAAATAGCAGTGGAATCAGAAACGTTAAAATCTAAGCAAGTCTGTTTAGATGATAGAAATAAGGCATTGCAGGCAGCCCATAAAACTTCAATAGCTCTGACACAGAAGTAATACTTTCTTAAGATAAGCTCATCTTTGAGTACACATGAATTAAAAACTCTTCTGTAACAGCACTGAGCCATTAAGTTTTTATATCTGCTTCTGGCATGACTGAAAAAATTTCTAGCCCTTTACCAACATAGAGGGACAGAAATAAGACCAGGCCTGAACCCACTCCAGGAGGAGGTTCCTGTTACTTTACCTGGAATCCCATCGGTCTGTTTTAGAGTCATACTTATAAGTGGGGATAAACTTGATTTCACCTTCGGTGAAGTCAGCAAAAGCTTTTTTCTGTGTGCGTTGAATATTTAGCTAGAAAGAAGCATCACATAAGTAGGGTAACACCATCTTAAAACAAATGATAATCAGGTTGATCAGCCATTTCTAATTATCTAGTTCCACAGCCTTTGCAACTAATAAATAAAATTTCTGTACCTTGTGAATTAAAATCTTGCCATTCCCATAGCATCTAAACTCATCCACAGGTAGGATGCTCATTATGAGCACATCACTAATTTCTTATTGCTAATAGTCATCAGAAAATGGAAAAATGAAATATGAATAATTGTAAGTTCTCTGAAGTTGGACAGGAACCATCTAGCACAATTTTAATTAAAAAAAAAAACCCCACACACAAATGTTGAATGTGTAACTCCAAAAGCCAAATTCAGTGAATTGTTACAGATCATTCTGAAAGTTATCCTTACTCAAATACTTTATCAGAATTACATAAGACTTAGAATTTATTCCAACTGTACCCACTTTGGAAGCATGACACAGGAAGAAATGCAAAGAAATCCACCAGCCAACTTCAATATGAAGAAAGATACAGCCAAATAAGGCTCACTATAAAAAACCATTCAACTGCAAAACTCCTAAATTTTTACTATGTCTGAAGGTCAAAAAGGCTTACATAAGGATTTAAAGACATTAAAATTAAGTTGAAACATTTTCTTCCCTCCATAAGAAACACTCACTTTTAGCAACCAGTATCCATAAGCTGAAGTAAAAATTCAAGTCATGTGCCAGGTTCCAAGGCAAATTTACAGAAAACTAGGTTCCTGAATATCAAGTTTTATATAAATGTTACCGAATCAATGCTTTTCCCACAGGTTTTAACATCTATAAGCCAGATAGCCCCAACTTCTCAATCAGTTCCCATTAGACCACAGTCTGTGTTATTTATCCCAAACTTCTCTTCTGTTCTTCCCAATCCCCTCACAGGGCCTCCCTCTTTTACCTCCACACTGCTGCTAAGCCTGCCAAGTAATCATAGAGCAACTTTCCCTGTTCCATCTGCCAAATCACATCAACATAGCTGTAGGCCCACTTCCTCCAGGAAGTACTCTCCAGTTAACCCCACCCATTCTCCAACTTATTTATATAAATCTCTCAAAATCTCTTCTTGATAAAGACAATGAACAAATGTTATATTTACTTTTTCTCTCCCCTGTTCCTATCCAAGCACTTAATAAAGCACTATAAACCTTGTGTGTATTCGCTGCATCACTAGTCAGTTTCCCCAGGACAATGAGACCTTTCCATCTATTCCTAGAGTAAGACACACCTGCCACACACGTATCTCATAAACCTAACAATTTTATCTGCCACTTAGGAAAGTACCTATAACATGAAAATTTACTCACCTGGTCAAATTTCAAGAGTCTCTGAAGGTCATTCTTGTTAATAAGACTCTTCACTTCATTGGCATCAGGCATACAAAGTCTATAGTTCAAATCTCCCAACCAGATGACAACACTGAAGATCAAGAAATACATGAACAGGAGTAGCAATAATTAGCATAAAAAGTCAGAGAAAATGGAGAAAAGAAAACTAGGTAGATTATTGATAAGGATTCATTTATCACTACCTTAGACAAAGGGTTTAAGCTGTAACTTATCCTTTGGAGTGAAGTACTCCCAACACCTGTAAAGGACCAGGGATTACCAAATAGGTGGGAAGATAGGCACTCCATACACGAAGAACAAAGATAGGGGAATACAGTGTTATGTGTGCGATTCAGAAGCCAAGGAGTTAACTGCCTAAAAGAAGCATGTAGTTTATTTGCTGGACTAGTGCCAAAATTTTGTCTGGCTGCCTGCCAGGTCTCCAAGGGAAGAGAATCTGAACATTTTCTGCCTCTCTGAGCCCTGACATTCTGCAGGCTCTCCACTAAGGTCTGCGTGGTCTGAACGACAGCTCTCCCAGTCAGGACCCTAGCAAAAGTAGGTTCACGGCTCTCCACTATAGCCAATCTGCCTATCCCTGCCCCAGATCCACAGTCCAAGTCCCAGGCAGAAAGGAGACTGGCTTGCCACAGGAGTCTCAGGCTCCCAATCACGGTAACAGGCCCCTAGATGTGCTGAGAGCCCCCATAGGACAGACCCTGAAATTACTACACTAAAAGGGATTCTCCTTGTGAGCTATCTCAAGTCCTGAATGGGTCTCTTTGCCAATCTTAAATGCAACATGAAATTTCTGGAATTCTGAGGAAATAAATGTAAGGAATTTCAGGGCAACTTTTTATTAATGTCAAGGCCTTGACTTAACTACCATGATACAGAACTGTGTATGATCCTAATTGAGACAATATGGAAACAGGCCAATATCACTACCCTTCCCTACTCTTTCCTCAATTACCCTACTCTACTACTGATTCTAATATCCAAATTATCTTTTTTTTCCTACTAATCCCCATCTCAAACCACTCTCTCAGAATTTCAATTACCATTATTAATTTCTTGACAATTAATCATTTTCTGCCACCCTATCCATCCCTCAACTGAATTCTGCTTCTATCCTTAAGTCCTATTCTCCACGAAACTTTCTCTCATGTTACCCTATCGATCCATTGTTGTCTACATCTCCATTGCCCCTATTCTTACTGATTCAGTCACTAAGAATATATATATCTATATTCATATAGCTAATATATAGATCTACATATACACATAATATATACAATGTATACATTATAATGTATACATGAATACAGGTAATACACACACACACATATACACACTGGCTTGGAAAGTGACCCACAATAATAGGACAATATAGTCCTATATAATAAGTGTGCATGTGTTTGTATATATAGAAACGTCTAGAACAAAGGAAATAAAATGAATGCCACAGATGTAATTTTAAATTTTTTAGTAGCTGCATTTAAAAAGTATAAGAAAAAAGTAAAAATAACTTTAACAATAAATTTCATTTAACTCAATATATCCAGATTATCATTTCAACACATAATCAATATTGAAAAACTGAGATATTTTACATTTTTCCTACTAAGTCTCTGAAATTCAATGTACAGCTTATGCTTACAGCACATCTCAATTTGGTCTAGCTACTTTCAAGTGTCCAATAGCCACTTATGGCTACTGGCTGTCACAACGGACAGCATAGTTCCAGGATACACAGTGAAATGTTACTAACAGTTTCCTCTGAGAGACTGGCTGGGGAGAGCACAGTGATTTCTACTTTTAGTTTTATCTTTTATTACATTTACAATAAACATTTCTATTTTATAATAAAAAACAATAAAAACTGACTCCAGCTGACAGACACCTCCAGCATTATTCTTACAAGGCCACTAACAGAACTAATCCTACCCTCGATAGCAAATCTGATTTCTCTGCCTCAATGAATCTGCTATTCCTCATAAACCCTCTCTTCTTTGTGACCCCAATCCCTAAATGGTAATCCTTCACTCTTCACAGTTTCCTATCCGTTTAATCTCTTCTCAGCCCCACTATTCAAAGGCCAAAGATTTAACCACTCACTCGTGTTTCATGATGTTCAGCTGTGGGAGGGTCTGATTTGGGACCACAAAACTCATGCGTGCACAGATGTCCTTATAATCTTGATTCCTTCTCTCAAAGTCCTCGACGTGGGCAGCCAGGTGGGAATTGACAATGCAAAAGGTAGTGTTGTGAAATACAAATCTCACAGCTACCCCACCTTTGTTTCCCTGTAAGCAAGAGTAATTATTCAGTTAGTAGAAAGACACAACTAGCAGTTAAACTTCACATGGACATAAATAATAATCAAGCTCATTTCCAAAGTAACTCACCATTTTCCCCATGATTCCAGTTCCAACTGTTTCTGTAGCAACATCACGGATATAGCGCCACTGGTCCTTTCTAGCAAATATGAGGAGCATCATCCCAACAAGGCGGACTAGTTGAACCTACGAGTTCCAGGGAGTTAGAAAAAGGTTCATGTTAATACCACTCTTTGAAAAAAAAAAAAAACAAAAAAAACCACTCTTTGCCACACACCTAGTCCCACAACTAATTTTCCACCAAGAAGATATTAATGATGCTCAAATCTGAATCCAAATCCTCTAATTTCCCAGTGGACCCCGTACAAAGGAAACAAAATTTCTCTGGGGAAGCTCTTATCTGACTCTGACCAATAGGAGTTAAAAGTCTTCAGGGACATCAAGTACACTCAGCTCTAGGATCCATTATTTTAATCACTTGTAAACCTACCAGGAGTAGATAGTATTAAAAAATCAAATAAAAAACCCCTATCCCAGTTTGTTCCTTTCACTTCTCCTTCCTAGTTTCTGATTTCTAATTTCTTAAGAAATTAAAATTTATAAAATAGCAATCTTTTTTACTTTGATTATTTTAAGTCTGAGAACTAGAGCTAGAAATACATCTGAAATATGTGTTAGTCAGGGACCTATATGACAGGAGTAACACCCTCAGGATTTTTATTACCTATTATCAACTGTTAGAAGAAGTAAGTGAAAAATGTTCAGATGACTGCTTTTAAAGGGCTTACTACGGTAGCCATGTAATTAAAATAACTCTTCTGGTAGCTTCTACATGCTTTCTAAAGAACAACAAATTGGCCCACCTTGCTAAAGTCAACTCTACTTTTGATTTACAACAAATTTTAGAACTCATTTAAATTCTACAACACTTCTTGCTGATTCCACAGCATACCCTATGCACCCACATGCTTCAAACTACTTTTCTGTAAAGTATCCAGTTCTGATCACGTCAGTGAACAATTCTGATCTTAAACTTTTACTGTTACCTTATAAGTAATTATTTTAAGCTAATTATCATTCTGAGAATAAAATTCTTCTTTTCTCCTAAAGCTACCTAAGCAATGAAAATATAGGATCAGAAAGCTTAGGAAAACTTTTTTCTAGAAAAATAGGTGTAAAGGATTAGTCTGCCCTATTGCAGTATTACACACAGGGAAGAAGTCGATTAAACCATCCTTTTGGAACAAGTTATAGATAACAGAATAGGGAGTTCTATTTAGTTGTATATTAAAAAAGAAAATCAAATGCAGTTTACTTTCTTATACTTGGCTTTAGAATGCAAACCCCTCTCCACAGCCATGGACCACTCTTGTTCTTTCACAGATTCAAAGTAGAAAAAGGCTTCTGTGCTCAAGTCCAGCTCTTGGAATCTGAAAAAAAAAACAAACAAGAAGATGTGAGATCTATACATATCCCATAATTATCTCTGTCTACCTCCTTTCCCATTTTCTGAGACATTAGGTGAAAAGAGAATGGGGAAAGAGATAAATTTTTAGAGAACTGCTCTATTGACCCAGGTGATCAGTAAGGACAAGCAGCTTTCTTTTTCAAAAGACCCTCTATAAGTATATGCAGAGGCTATGCAAAATAAATCTTATAAAAGGGGGCGGGGACCTGGGTGGCTCAGTCGGTTGAGCAGCTAACTCTTGATTTCAGCTCAGGTCATGATCTCAGGGTCCTGGGATCCCTGCTCAGTGGAGAGCCTGCTCGAAGATTCTCCCTCTCCCTTCTCCTCTCCCTGCCCCTCCCCCTGCTTATGCACTCTCTCTCGCTCGCTTTCAAATAATAAATCTCTTTTTAAAAAAGTACATGCACAGACTATGCAAAACATAAACAAAAAACAAACAAAAAAAAACCTCCACAAGGGATAACAGTGGAGTGCTGTTTATATATCCTAGGAATAGTCACTGTTGGAATTGACCTCAAGTCTGTTTCTATTAAGAATGCAGTTTTCTTTGCATTTTGAAAGGACTAGATGTTTCCTTTCACCATTTCAGGTATCATTCCTTTCTTATCTCATAAATTTGACCTACAAGTTAATTCTCACATATAGTCCATAGTGAATTTTTACCAAATAGTTAAAAAAGAAAAAGGAGGGCAAAATGTCATGGAAACTAATACCAAACATATAGCCAAAAGGAAATTCCAGATGTGTTCTTTACCCAATGCAGTAGATATCAGGAGGATTTGAATCACAGTTCAGCCAAGGTTCCAACTCACTATCGGGGGACTGGCCATTCACGTTCCACGTTCCAACAAAAAATCTAATACACAATACCAAAAATTATTTGAAAATGAAGGTCAAGTATGAACCAATGAAGTTCTCTCATCACTTTTATACAAGTGATGAGAGCAAGTTACATTAATTTGGAATCTGAATAGTAACAGCTAACATTTATTAAAGACTTAGCATAATGCCTATTTGATATAAGGGATTATATCATTATCTCCTTTAATCATCATAAAGACCCCATGAAGCCAGTACTATTAGAAATCTTTCCATGTTACAGAAAAAGAAATGGAAGCTCAGCATTGTTGAGTAACTTGACCAAGGTCATACACAACTAGCAAGTTGTAGAACATACAAGGGTATGTTCACAATAAGCCAACATAATTTCTCAAAATGTTTTGCTATACACATAAGAAACACCTCTCACACATAGAACACAAAGGCAGTGGGCTTAATTCTCTAAAGTTTACATTAGATGAACCCATAGAAAGGAACTAAGTCGCTATTTAAAAAATACAAAGTTAATTGCTCTACCACATTTCTTTTCAATTAAACTCCACCCAAACTCATACTTGAAGGGAGAGCTTGTAGATGGGAAAAAGGTATCTTCATGCTGTAAACACACCTAATGTGGATAACTGTTCTGTAAGGAGCTATAGTTGAATCCAAAAACTCACTTCCCGAAGGATTACAAGGACATCTGTGTAGGAAATTCTGTTGAGGCAGATACAGTATTAAGGGGGAAAGCAGAAGGGAAAACTCATAACTGTCTTAACTGTTTACATACAAAAATAAGCATCATGGGGAATATGAGAAACTACAGGTTTTAGCATAGGGATGTGGTTATAATTGAATTAGAACAAATGAGGCATACTGGGATAGCAGATTGGACCAGAATCTTGGACTATTAAGGGTACGTGTTGTTCACAAAGAGAAGTGTTACTGCTTTGCACACGAGAATATACGCCATGCCACACCATACACACTAGGTCCAGAAAAGATACCAATAAGTAAATGTGAAATGAAAAATATGATACAGAGGAAAGAATCCAAGACAGACCTCTCAATCAAGATGACTGGGTGAAATTTTCTGTAGTTAACTTACCAAAGTAAGTAAGTTAAGCTTATGGTAATGGCAGACATTAATCTTCAAATATTGGTGAGAAAAAATTCAGCAGGCCAGAAAGATAAACACACTTGCTTACAGAATGTGCTAGGGGATAATCCTCTAGTACATGGGAGCTTGATTTGGTTCTGAGTGGTTAGAACCATTAGCAGACATAGTATCATTAGTAGTTAGAAAATCCAAGGGAAATTGTAGCATTTGTGTTATTTTGTTCATGTATGTTATTGACTGATACAGAGACAGGGGCTTGAGCCAGCTGACCTTTCCTTTTATTATGCTTTGATTCTTAATTAAGCTAATTAAACCAATACCTTAAATAACAAACAGCCATTGTATGCCATATCTCAGTAAGTAGAAGAGAGACTAACCTGAAATTCTGAATGTTGACATATTCTTTCTCTCGCTTTGCCAGGATATGTTTGATGAGACCCTCCCGCTGCCCAGCCTGGGTATTTGGCACAAAGAGTTTCCGCATGGTGTTGGTCACTTTGGGCTGTTCCTTGTTAGAAGCTTCTTTGTCACGTGGAAGCCTAGCAAATCAATGAGAATTTCAAAAGTGAAACTGCCTATAATAAAAAAAGTCTCCTAAATGGGAAATATGTTTTGACACAGGACTTACATTCTATTCACTGAAGGGGGTGGGGGTGGGGGTTCCCGATGAATCCCTGTAGGATGATTTTGTGAATTAATTTTCTTGTCCAAATTCATAGATGAAAAATTATCCTCAAATCCAAGAAGCCCTGAAGTACATAGAACCCAGAGTCAAAGGGGGAAAAATAAAGATAACATCCAATTTATCCAGGATAGACACAGCTTTGCTTTGATCAGTGGTTTTAATTTGATCACTATATGCTCAATGGCATTACCAAACAGAAAGGTACCATAAGGATACCCTGAAGGATTTGACATACAAACTAGAACAATAGCAAGTTACATTAATTTGGAATCTGAATAGTAACAGCTAACATTTATTAAAAACTTAGCATAATGCCTATTTGATATAAGGGATTATATCATTATCTCCTTTAATCATCATAAAGACCCCATGAAGCCAGTACTATTAGAAATCTTTCCAAGTTACAGAAAAAGAAATGGAAGCTCAGCATTGTTGAGTAACTTGACCAAGGTCATACATAACTAGCAAGTCATAGAACTGGGATTTAAACCCAAGCAGTTTGGCCCTGGAGCCTGCAATTTTTACCACACTGCTAAGCAGGCTCCTGAGGAGCTAACATGCCACAGAAAGGATCAGGAATGAACATTAGTCAGTGGGCATGGACTCAGTAAAACCACTCCATAGCAGAAGGTGTCTGGGATTGACATTAATCCACATTATCTTATGTGTCCAGATAAAATCTATTTACTTTGCAATGATCATAGCAACCAGGCAAAAGAGAATCTTTTCAGTACCTGAAAAAACAGGCGGCTTGTCCTTAGTGTCTAATTTCTGATACCAGCTAGATGAGTCCTTTTGCTCTGGAACAAGAATGTGTGACTGAGCTAGAGAGATAAGAGTCATGGTCAGAAACAGGGAAGCCCTTCACTGAGTGGGATTTACCATAACCAAAAGCCGTTCCCTCAGCACTCCTCAAATGCAGGGGCCAGCAGCATTCTTAAGTGTAAAGGAAGAGACGAAGAGAATGAGGGCAGCTCTGGGATCATCTGGGAACAGAAGGAGGATTATAGTCTTCAGGAAACTGTCCATGCTGTGACACTGAAAAACGGCTCAGTGTCCTTACAGCTGAATAGACTTGTTCCCTAACCTAACCCTGGGTTTGTTCCTGAAAGCAGAAAAATCAGCACTAAAGACTGAAGTTGTGAGGTACTTTGCTAATGGCTGCTTGCCTCTGCATCAGCATGTCAGAATTTCACTGCCATTCAAAGAGCAGAAAGAAAACTGCTGAGTCTTGAGTTACCTTCTTGAGCAGCAAGGACCTCTGAGAGGAACTTCAAACAGTGTTCCTCATCAGGGATTTCAAAGCGCCGCTCTCTGGTCCGGTCCCCCTGAATCCGAATTTTGCAGCCACCTAAAAAGAAGTGAAATCCACACACATATAGCTATGGAATACACGCTTTCTCAGGGTCACACTCTCAACTTAACAGTTTAACAGGAGAAGGTCCAGATCACAAATATTCTAAGACCTCTAATGTAGGAAACAGGTCTATAGGATCAGGGGATTTGGTGGGTGGGTGGGTGGGGGACAATACAGGGAGGGAAATCTAAAGGGCTGATGAACTGTGTCAATGAGCAGCCCAATTATAGTGATATAAAACATACTAAAATCAGTTCTCCTATGTTCTATCTCCCCAATGTCAATGCAGGAACCAAATTCTAATGAAAGATCACTTCCCCAACCACCCCCCTCCCATCTCCCAGCTGGAAATTTCTACCATTTCAAATCCAGATTATGTAGTTAGAGTATTTGAAGCATAAAGGGAATAAAGAAAATAAGATGGTTTGCTCCTAGGTATAGACTGTACCCAGGCAATTGAATTTACAAACTAATTTAAAAAGAAAAGAATAGTGGAATTGGTTTGAATTATTCTGAAAAGAAGCACCTATACCTCATTACCTCAAGTAAAAAATGCATGTCTTGAATAAATGTACGAAAGCAATATAATGACATGACCAGGAGTGGTCCAGTTCAAGCATTTCCATTATATTGGAAAACAGTATAATGAGCAGCAAAGTGATCTAGAACATTAGTTTCTGATGTATATAACATACTGTCTCCCTTTTTCTGACGCCCTAGTTATCATATGTATCAACTGTCTGGATATGGTGATCCAGGAAACATATGTACTTGTTTATATTCTTATTTTAACTGATTTAGTACATATACTGCTTTCTCATGCCCCTGGAAACCATAAATTCCTTGAGAGAAGAGGCAGACTGCACATACAGGTAATCCAACACAACACTTTCGATGATCTCCTACAGTTGTCTGGGACTGAAGGGCTTCTCAGGACTCAGGACATTCAAAGTGAAGACTGGGAAAGTCCCAGGCAAACCAGGATGATTGGTTACTTTACAGACAGAGAAGCATTTAATAGACGACTGTTGAACCTGTCAGACTTCACAGACAGAGAAGGCATTTAATAGACGACTGTTGAAATAGACTCCCTCACACTTGTAAATGACAGAGATGAGAAAATGAAATGAATCCTAGTTTCTTATGTTGGAAATCCACTTCTGAATCTCTCTTGCCTTTGCATTTCCTTATGTTTCTATCTTCATAGATTTAGCAATTAGAAGAAAAGAGATAAAAAATAGAGAAAAATGTGAAAAAGAAGGCACTCAAGTGGACCACAGATAAGAAAATTAGTGAGGGTGTTACCATAAGGAGAAGAAAAAAACAAAGGGCGTGAATAAAGGCTGTCAATTATCACAGCCTTGAAGATACAGGGAAAACCTCCTTGGGGTAAAGCAGTCCTCCCTTTCTCAGATACTTTATATAAAAAATAGAAGAAAATTAAAAGATCAGTTTCTATCCGATAGAAACTTTTTTTTAAGATTGTATGTATTTATTCATGAGAGACAGAAACAGAGAGGCAGAGGGAGAGGCAGGCTCCCTGCAGGGAGCCTGCCTGATGTGGGACTCGATCCCAGGACCCTGGGATCATGACCTGAGCCAAAGGCAGAAGCTTAACCATCTGAACCACCCAGCCAAAGGCAGAAGCTTAACCATCTGAACCACCCAGGCGCCCTCTATCTGATAGAAACTTAAACAAGAACACATAATCTCTCTATCCCACAATCCTTGAAAGATATATGATAATCTTAGCAAATATAAAAAATACACTGACTCATTTAACAGAAAATTCCAGAAATTGCTTACAAAATAACACTGGATACTCTCTCACCATGTTGTGTGGGAAAAGGACAAATTACCCCATGACCCAACCTTCTACTACTCTTCCTCCCAAAACCCCCTAGCCTCTTTGTGATCAACAAACACTCCTATATCCTCAAATTTCTCCTCTGAACATTCCCTGCATCTCTCAGTAATTCTCAACTATTGGTGTATTAGAATTACCAGAGACATTTTTAGAAAATAGACATTTGGGTCCCACCCCAGCCCAATGAAGCAGAATCTCAGGGGGTGAGGCTCAGGCACTGCTAGTTTTTAAAATACTCCCCTAGTGATTCTAATGTGTATCCAAATTGAAAATCAAAGAGTCACCTGTGAAGTAGCTGGTCCCTGGATGCTGTTTATGGTCTCTCACACCCTATGGAATTTAAGACTGGTGTCCTTATTTGTCCTAAAGCCATCTCCAGACCATTCCTTCTTATTCTCCCTCAAGACAAATCCTTTTTCCTTTTAGGTTCACCCATTGGGTTATACCAACTTCTTCCCTTCCCTCCTCCCTCTATGAGATCATGTACTATCCTCCCAAAAATGTCTGAATCCAGTGTTCAATACCTGACTCATACGACTTCCTCTCCATGCAAACTCTTGCCTTAAATTTAGGTCCCTTACAAATTAGTGCAGAAAACACAATCAACATCTTCAGCTTCCTCATCCAATGACCTTGGCCCACCATCTCAGCCACCTACTCCTTCAGTCCCTACTGGGATTTCCCTCAGTTATACTCTGAACCTTTTCATCATAGAAACCATCACCTCATAAATCTCTAATTCAAATATCCCATTCTGACCTGTTACTTCCAGCTTACTTGCTCATATGGGAACCTCCAGCCGATTGATCCCTCTACTTTCTTAGTATCCATTTGCTCACTCGGTGCTCACTTCCTATTTTGTCAAACAGATGTCATCATTAAACTCTGTTGCAAAAGCCCAGAACTGCCTTATCACCCTGTTCTTCCACAGCACCTACTGCCTTACCACCCTGTTCCTCCACAGCACCTACGTGGTTAACTTTCAACCCTCAGAAATCCAACTAACTGCCTTACTCCAGAGGGAGTAAACACACACACACACACACACACACACACACACACACACACACACACACACACACCCTATTATTATAAAATGATTGCTAACCTCAACTGGGCCCTCTATGATAGGAAGTCATCTAAGTTTCCACAGTCAACTAGTCTCCCACTACTACCTGGAACAACCATTTCATACCTCCTCATTTATCCTTAATTTTTGGATCCCCTCTTCTCAAACCCTCTCATTCCAAGTGGATTGCTTCACCTCATGCTTCAGAGAAAATGGAAGCCATCACATGGAACGTCTCCTTTCCCTTCTGATATAAGGAAGAGGAGTCCTCCTATCAAAGGACACCTTCTCTTTGAATTATAACCCCTCCGATTCTCTCAGGAACCTTACACTCACAATCATTCCCCAGACATCTCCCCCCAATATCTTTAACCTCCCTCTTTCACAGGCTCCTTCCCATTAGCATTAAATTGTGTTCTAAATCCTCCCTATTTTGAAAACAAAAAACCTTCCTAGACCCCATATTTCTCTCCAACTCCAGTCCATCTCTACATTCCCCTCCACAGTAGAGCTTTTTTTTAAAAATATTTTATTTGTCAGAGAGAGAGAGAGAACAAGCAGGGGGAGCATCAGGCAGAGGGAGAAGCAGGCTCCCTGATGAGCAGGGAGCCCAATGTGGGAGGGACTCAATCCCAAGACACCAGCATCATGACATGAGCCAAAGACAGACGCTTAACTGACTGAGCCACCAGTCACTTCTCACCTCCCATTTCTCTCGTTAATCCACCCCAATATGACTTTTGCTCCCACAACCCTTCTAAAATATCTTTAAGGTCACCAATAACCTCCAAATTGCTAACTCCAATAGATCCTCTTCAGTCATCTTATTAGACCTATCAGCAGAAATCAATAGTTGACCAGTTCTTGAATAATCTTTTCTGAAGGCTTCTATGATACTATACTCATCTAGTTTGCCTCTTTTTGGTCACTAATTTTTTTTAGTGCCCTTTGAGGTATCTCCTCCTCTCTCTAACCTTTAAAAAAGCAGGGCTCCTTAGAGTTCAATCTAAAACCTTTTTCTCACTTGGTATCAGCACTGTCCAATATAGTAACCAATAACTACATGTGGCTAATGAGTACTTGAAATGTGACTAGTGTGACTAAAGAACTGAACTTCCAATTTTATTTCTAATTAATTTAAACAGGCATGCTCTATTTCCAATCACATCATCTCTCATGGTTTCAAATACCATCTATGTGCTAGTGGCCCAGACCTTTCTTCTGAGCTTCAGATGCATACATTCAACTGTCAATTTATCATCTACACTCAAATGTCTCAAAGAAATCTCAAAACTAAACATAGCTAAAACTGAATTCACGACCCCCCTCAAAGGAAAACTCATTCCTTCTGCAATGTTCTTATTTTTGCAAATGGTACCATCATCCACATTCATGCTGGTAACTTAAGAGTCATCCCTGACACTTCTCTTCAACTCACTACCTATGCCCAAACCGACCTGTTGATTTAACCTCCAAAAACATTTATCAAATCTGTCCACTTCTCTCCATTTATACTGTCACCATACTCATATTCTCTAGCTTAAACTTTTTTTGAAAAGAAAAAAAAAAGGTTTTAAGATTTTATTTACTTATTTGACAGAGAGAGCGCACACACACAAGCAGGAGGACCAGCAGGCGGAGGGGGAGAAGCAGGCTCCCTGCTGAGCAAGGACCCCAATGCGGGGCCCCATCCCAGGATCCTAGATCATGACCTGAGCTGAAGGCAGACGCTTAACCAACTGAGCCACACAGGTGCCCCAAGATTTATTTATTTTAGAGAGAGTGTGTGCATAAGCCGGGGCGGGGGGGAAGGAGGAGGGACAGAGGGAGAGGGAGAGAATCTCCAGCAGACTCCCCGCTGAGCACAAAGCCCAGTCAGCCAGATCCCACGACCCTGAGATCACAACCTGAGCCAAAATCAAGGGTCAGACACCCAACTGACTGAGCCACCCAGGTGCCCCTCAAGCTTAAACTCCTGAAACAGCCTTCTAACTGGCCTTCATGCAAATGATGACACCCTGGCATAAAATCCTTCATATTCTTCCCATTTTTTAAATGTAAAAATTCAGATTCCTTAACATGGCTTACAAGATCTTACTGGATCCGGCCTTAGCCCATCCTAACTTGATGCCTATGCCTTGTTCCAATCACCCTGGCCTTCTTTCATTTCAAATAAAGTGTCAAGCTACTTCCCCAATTTGGGGCCTTTACACATGTAGTTCCTTTTACCTGGCATACTTTTCTCTCCATTTTTACCCCTCCCTTACTTAGCCCCTCTGGTCTCAATTTAAATGTCATTTAAAGAGGCCTTCCCTGGGTGCCTGGGTGGCTCAGTCATTAAGCATCTGCCTTCGCTCAGGTCATGATCCCAGGGTCCTGGGATTGAGCCCCACATCGGGCTCCCTGCTCAGCGGGAAGCCTGCTTCTCCCTCTCCCACTCCCCCTGCTTGTGTTCCCTCTCTCGCTGTGTCTCTGTCAAATAAATAAAATATTTTTTTAAAAAAAAAGAGGCCTTCCCTGACCATGTCACCTAATTTAGTTAACCCTCTTATAAACTCTTTGTATTTCTCCTTGATAGCATTTATCAAAACTGCAACTATGTAAGTATTTACACTTATCAGTTCAAAGTCTGTTTCTTGTACTGATTGATGATATAACCTGACTATATTGCTTTCTGATATATCTCTAGAGCCTAGCACAGTGCCTAGCACATAAAAGATATTCATATTTTATAGAATGAATTAATGGATTATAGGCATCTAGTACTAAACAGCACAGAAGCAAGAACAAAAGCAGGAGCAACAATCTTATCTATGTTGTTCTCTACTGATTCTGCAGCACTTGGAACAGTGACTGGCAAACAGAAGGCACTCAACAAATATTTGTTAAATAATGAATAAATAAGGGAGGATTTAATATTAGGAAATTAGTATAATACAGTCCATCAATAGGTCAAATAAGGAATAATAATATAACCATCTCTTTAAATAGTGTAAAGACATCTGATAAAATTCAATATACATTTATGATTTTAAAAACCACATAAACTTGAAATAAATGCAGTTTCTTAATATGGTTTTTAAAAAACCCTATCAAATCAACAGGCAATCATGTCCTCAACAATGAAGCACCGCCTGAGGCATTCTTACTGAAAATAGGAGCTAAACAAGGATTATCATCATTATTTAATATTGGTCTTAAAATTCTCATTGGTGTAATGAGACATGAAGCAAAACTAAGAGTTATAGGTACTAGAAAAGAGACAAAATTATTATTTGCAGATGACCAGGGCTGTCTATCAAAACCAAAAAACAAAATAAACAGCACCCCCAAAATTTTAAATATATTTCTATAAAGTGGCTGGATAAAAGATAAATATCTAAAACTCAGTAACTATTAGTTAGGACCATGTTCCTTGATAGTGTCTTAATTTTATAAAGGACTTAATTTATTAAAATTTGGCACATACCTATGGTGAAATACTAGTCATTAAAAATCATGTTTTTAAATAATTTTAAATGACATGGAAATATAATGTTAAACAAAAATGCAGCACAAAAACTACATATAAAGATTCCAGTCATATAAAAACATAAATAAAAGGCTGGAAGGAGATACCTAACAATGTTAACTACAGTGGTGATCTCTAGATTGCAGGAACATAATTTTAATTTGATACTTCAAACTTTTCTGAATTTTCCAAATTATATATAATGAAGATATATTTATTACCTCAATAATCAGAAAAAATAGTTTTAAAAATGTGTAATATCAACATCCAGACAATGGGAAAACACATATTTACATTAAAATCAGGCTTGCCTAACAAACCCAGGGCCTCCCTCCTGCAACATACTATATGCTCTAAAGGTTTGTGTATGAAGCCCAAGGATCAAGATAAAATCTGGTTTCACTGCAAATATTACTAAATGGGCAGAAATAACAAAGGATTTTATTCAAGGGGTTACTGAACTATTACCCTGCTATGATCCAGTAACTCAAACTCTGGATAGAGCAACATGTGGCTAATTTCTATGTAGGAGAAGCCAAAGGAACTAATGCCCTAAATAGGCGTTTATAAGAGAAAAGGCACAGCTCAGTTTAACTTTTCAGCTTTGGATCAAATATCTATTTCTACAGCAAGAACAGGACATTCTGGCATTTTATTTCGACAGCAATGTCAGTCACTACTGAACTGCCTTTGCTCAAATTTTTCTTTTTTAGTGTTGTTTCTGCCTTCTCCTTTCTAAGCACAATAAGACATAGATAGTAAGTTATTTGCTCTCTTGGATACCTGCAGAAATCAGCAGCTAGGTTTATTTAGCTTTTCAGAATCAACCCTTAAGACTTCCAAAATCCATGACCAAAGAAAAGAATAATAAAACCCAAATCAGAAAAAGCCTATCTAAACTGTTCAATACAAATTAATGGTGGCAAGGACAGGGACTGTCTCTAAACAAAACTATGTATAACCCATAGCCCCAAGCTAAGGGCTAAACCCCACTCATCCAAGGACTCAAGCAAGAGATAAGGCAACCGGTTTGATTCACATTCATGTGGTCACAAACTCTTTTCCGTAGCAACCACTGAGTCGTCAAGGTAGCTTTCAAGTGCCCATTTTCTCCTCCCCATAACACAGTACAACTAGATGATAAACAGAGAACAGCTTGCACAGAAAGTCAATGATGATTTGCTTCAAACAGATAAAAATGAGAAAACTGAAACAGTGAGAAAGAAGACCATGTTCTTTCTGATAAAAGGATGCCTTGAGGGGATGGGGCTTAAATAAAAGACCAAAATTATTTTAAGGAAAAAGAGGTAGCCCGAGACAAGCAAGGTATCCCCAGTACAAGAGGGACTCTATAGCCTCCCAAAATAATATAACAAATAAAGGAAAACATTATGATTTAATATGCAAAAATAAAAAGCGAGTTGAGAAAAAAATTTAAAATATAACAGCATTAAACCACTAATGGTAAAAATACTGATAGCTCAAAGAAGTTCAGCATTAGAGAAGCAGATCACATCTTCAACTTTTTAAAGATTCCTGCCAGCCACCTGCTTTTTCTTATGTTTAGACTAAATGTTTTTAGGGGGCAAAGTTAACTTGTACGGCTGCCTCAAGAAAACGAAGAACACAGGATAAGATAGTAAAATTAAAATGTGCCAAAAAAGGGGTCTTAGTGGGCATTCAATTAAATATATGTTGAATGAAAATAAATTCCATTCAGAATGGTACTCACTGTTTGAAGCTATATCAATCAAAAGAGTTTCTTCTGCTTCTGAGGGAAAAGAAGAAAGAATAGGATCAGGGAGGAGAAAACCATTCATTACAACTAAAAGAAGTATACGCCTAAGTAAATAACTGCTTCTCGCAGTCACCACTCCTAGGTCTTAGAAAACATTTTTAAAATCCTTTGCTTTTTTGTTTAGCATTTTTAAAAATGGATTTTGGAAGCACTAGGTTCTAAAGATAATGAGCAATTCAACTAAAAGAAAACTAAACTGAATAACCAAATGGAACACCTCAAAGCAAATCAAGGAACGACAATAATAGGCAATATAAACATGTTAATTCAAGTGAAGGTGAATTCAATTCCCCTCAACTATAACATACTGATTTAATATAATCTGTGTCACTTAGTTAATTCTTTATTTTTTTTTAAGATTTTATTTATTTATTCATGAGAGACAGAGAGAGAGAGAGAGAGAGGTAGAGGGAGAAGCAGGCTCCCAAGGAGCAGGGAGCCCGATGCGGGACTTGATCCCAGGACTCTGGGATCATGACCTGAGCCGAAGGCAGACGCTTAACCATCTGAGCCACCCAGGTGCCCGTTAATTCTTTTTTTAAAAAAAGATTTTATTTTTAAGTAATCTCTACACTCAACGTGGGGTTCAAACTTATAAGACCGAGATCAAGAGTCACATGTTCTACTGACTGAGCCAGCCAGGTGCCCCTAGATAATTTTTTTTTTAAAGATTTTATTTATTTATTTGACAGAGAGAACAGCAAGAGAGGGAACACAAGCAGGGGGGTGTGAGAGGGAGAAACAGGCTTCTCGCCGAGCAGGGAGCCTGATGTAGGGCTCGATCCCAGCACCCTGGCATCATGACCTCAGCCAAAGGCAGATGCTTAATGACTGAGCCACCTAGGCGCCCCGCCCCTAGATAATTCTTATAGAAAGCCAAGGGGCACCTGGGTGGCTCAGTTGGTAGAGCGTCCAACTCTTGATTTCAGTTCAGGTCATGATCTCAGGGTCATGGGATAGAGCCCCACATCTGCATCCGTCTCCATCCGGCTCCGTGGGCTCCATGCGTGGGGCTCCCTCCTCCTTTCGTCCTCCCCCCACTCTCTAAAAATGAATAAATTTTTAAAAATCTAAAAAAAAAAAAAAAGCCAAGGAAATGACCTCAAAGGCCCAGAGGTGAATTACTTTCTTAACTCAGATTTTGTCTCTGAAAACTTCCCAGTGATCTCATTTCCTCTGCCTCTGCCCCGTTTAGGATCAGAGAATACTTTAAGCTCTTGACCTTCAGGCTACAATTTATACCTGGGATCAGGACTATCACACCCAACAAGGAAGTATAAAACAGGGCAAAGCACAGTCTCCAAGTTCAGAGTTCTCTTTTCTCCCAGATGACTCTCTTGGACTTCCTTCCTTAGCTCCAGTGTCTAGATGTAACACCCATCTCTTCCTCTCTGACTTCCCTGGATTTGGCCAACAGCACCTGTAAGACCCTTCTGGCTAGCTGAACTCTGGGTAATGACTCCTTAGGATTACCCTGGATCTCCCTTGGCCAGATCGAGTAGTCTCAGCCTTTCCTTGCTCCCTCACAAGCCTGGATTATATATTTGGCCCCATTATTCAGTTACTACAGTAGCTACTGGTAAGTAGTTAAGGTGTCTAATATTAAAAAAATAGCCTCGGGGAGCCTGGGTGGTTCAGTTGGTTAAGCGACTGCCTTCAGCTCAGGTCATGATCCTGGAGTCCCAGGATTGAGTCCCACATCGGGCTTCCTGCTCCATGGGGAGTCTGCTTCTCCCTCTGACCCTCCCCTCTCTCATGCTCTCTCTCTCTCTCATTCTCTCTCTCAAATAAATAAAAATCTTAATGTGCTATGGTGAGCGCTGTGAATTGTGCAAGACTATTGAATCACAGATCTGTACCTCTGAAACGAATAATGCAATATATGTTAAGAAAAAAAAAAGAAGATAGGAGGGGAAGAATGAAGGGGGGTAAATCGGAGGGGGAGATGAACCATGAGAGACGATGGACTCTGAAAAACAAACTGAGGGTTCTAGAGGGGAGCGGGGTGGGAGGATGGGTTAGCCTGGTGATGGGTATTAAAGAGGGCACATTCTGCATGGAGCACTGGGTGTTATATGCAAACAATGAATCATGGAACACTACATCAAAAACTAATGATGTAATGTATGGTGATTAACATAACAATAAAAAATTTAAAAACGTTGAAAGGCAAAAAAAAATTTTAAAAAATAGCCTCAATATTCTCATTAGCATGATGAAGCAAGGGACAACAGTGCATCAGGACATAAGTACTGTAAGTTCCCCACTGTTCTTCAGTAACTTTAATTCTTTAAAACCCAAGTATTTATAGACTTATCAAAATAGGTTGGGAAACAGAAAGGATATAAAAACTCAAGGAAGTACTGTTTCTTTTGTTACGGGGAACTACTATGTGTATATACTATGTATATTTTCTTAGATTACAATCTAACAATCTATCGTCTATTTCTTATTAAAAAAGAATACTAAGAGAAATAGGGTAAAAGAAGCTGTAGAAATAGTACAAAATAGGTATAGAGTTAATAGGATGCTAAAATCTAAGGTCATGTTCTTTGGCTTTTCACCTCCTTAAAGGGCTGGGTATGTAATAAACGGTGCTACACCATGAAAAGTGAAATGACCACAGCAACTTACTATGGCATGCAGGTGCCTTATTCAGTATGTCCCTCTCACACAGGGCAGGCTAAATGGCTATTTCATTCTTCTATACAATGTGGATACTATTCATTGCAGGTATTTTTAATTCTTAATATATATTGTCTTTAAAAGTCATACCCATAAAAAAAAGTCATATCCATTTAGTATTTCTACTTACAGGAATAAATCCTAATAAGAGATGTGCAAGAGGATTTATGTACAGAGATATTCATCACATTACTATTTAAACTAGTGAAAAAAAAAACCCAAATGTCAAACACAGATATAACTACATTATGGGCTCTTCATAAAATGGCATAGTACATACCTAATAATAGCATGGAAAAGCAATCATAATGTGATGGCATGCAGAACACACAAAAAATTACATATAGTATGAGTTCTGCCCACCCTAAAAATTACATGTGTAGAAAAAAAGGAAAATGTTAGGTGTTTATCTCTGAAGGATGAGAATGTACTTATTTTCTTTATACTTTTCTGGTCTTTCCAAACTTTCTACAGTATATGTATTACTTTTGTGATAAAAAAAAAGTTCAATGTAACTTAAGAAAAAAGTCTGTGCAAGGTAAGATTCAAGTTTTTCAAAAAGCTACAGCTGATACAGAATGCTTTCTTTTTGATGACGCCAATGAACCCACTGGAAACATAATGCATTTGTTCTCTAGTAATCAATTTCCCTTCTAGAGCAATGTGAGATAACAGAAGCAACACCTCCCACATAAACCTCCCAAATTTTGAGTATCATTGTAGCAGATGAAACAACAGATTTTCTGTTCTTTGTCCCCAAATTTGAGGGCAGGAAGCCAAATATTTCCTCCTTGGAGTCAATTTTCTTATGATTCACCAATGTCAAGGTCTGAGAATCAGCACAATTGACTGTAAGGTATTAAAATCTGGTAAAGCTTGTTGCCAAATGTTTTAATTTCAAATAGTGTGGGGAGAAAGTGCTGAATGTGTGTGAATCCAAGTGACCTTGATACTTTACAATGAGCAGTGTGTTTGTTAACCAAAGAATGTCATTTAGATCCACATACAGGTCCATAAGCATAAAAGCCTACCTATATAGGTAACAGACGACATACATCTCTAACCCCCAGCCAGGGAAGCAGGTGAGACTATGTAAGTATTTCAGTACAACCCTTCAGCACTCACAGACAAAGCACTTACCATCTTCTCCATGGTAGCTTAGTAATGTTACCATTTTACGCAAAGAGTAATACATTTCATTTTATGTGCAGTGACAAATTTAAATATGTATGGTATTACACAATGCAATAATGACCAAGGAAAAACAATGTAAAACTAGCTAGGCAATTAAAGCTAGTACCTTGAACACATCTGAAGTGGCTATTTATAGGAATGATATCTTGAACAAGCTGTTCCTTCTCACGCAACTGGATTATTAACCTAGGAGACAGAAGAATGCATCAACGAATAGCTACTGAAAAACTCAAACATTTAACAACAAAATATATTGCTGTGTTGTTACACAAATCTAGTCTATATTTATTAGACTTACTGTATCTCATTCCCTGGATCTGAGCATCACGACAGCTAGAAATTGCTCTAGATCTAAGAGGATATTAGTGATGATCAGTATCTGACTACCCACACTGTCCTACGCCATAAGGAATATATAATAGTCTATGTCCTAAACACAGCTTACAATCTTAAAAACAAGAATTATAGTGCATACACATTTAGAGTATGCATACCAGAGTGAAGAGTAGCTAGCTGTGCACTCCATGAGGGCAGACTATGGTTGTCTTTTCACCACAGTATTTCTAGCACCTAGCATAGTGCCTGAAACTTAGTACTCATTCAAGTTTGTTGAATAAATGAATTAGAAATTCCATAAATTAGCTTTCAGATTATATTCCCATGGCTTTTACCAAAGAATGGTTCTATCTCTTCAAACAAGTATACAGGTTCATGGAGAAGTAAGAAGAGGTGCCCAGCCAGCTGGATCAGTTAAAATAACCCATGACCAACAGGGTAGCAGATATCACAACCAGGGCCTTTACATTCCTTATGTTTTTACTCTGGTTTCCAACTTCATGATGGTATTTCTAGGTAAACATGACTGAATTTGGGCCCCCAGTATGAAATGAAAGACTTCTAAATTCCTATGTACTCCTGAAATATTTTCATTTACTACTTATCTTAGTGGCCCAGAATCAAGGTATGACCTACTGGTAAACAACCATTCTGAACATCTCCTAGCTTCCCCAAATCAGGCAGTCTTCAGGTGGTTCTTTTTGCCACGAATACTCTTCTTTTCTTCCTGAGACCTGGTCAAATATCACCTCCTCTTAGCAGCTTCTAATTCCCCGAAGCAGAACCAGCTCTGATTCCCTTTGTTTACCCCTCTAATAAAGCACGTACACCATCCATTGCAGTTATATTTATTTCCCTCACTGATTTGAGCTCCTTGAAAACAAAGACCATATCATTCTCGGGTTTTCCTTCCTGCTTAATGGATGCTCAATAAATATTGGTTGAATAAATGAACCAGTTTAACTACATTATATACAGAGATAATTTTCTAAAACATTTGTTCAACCTCTGACATTAAAAAATGTCATTGTGGGGCGCCTGGGTGGCTCAGTCAGTTAAGCGTCTGCCTTCGGCTCAGGTCATGATCCCACAGTCCTGGGATCAAGCCCCGCGTTGGGCTCCCTGCTCAGCGGGAAGCCTGCTTCTCCTTCTCCCACTCCCCCTGCTTGTGTTCCCTCTCTGGCTGTGTCTCTCTCTGTTAAATAAATAACTAAAAATCTTTTTTAAAATGTCATTGTTTTGAAGGGTTTTATTTCTAGTTTGTTGTCTTTTGGGGGGACTTGTTTTAGCTTTATGAATTTTTTTTTCAAATGTGTTAACTTTAAAGGAGACAACATGGGGAAAGGAATTGCTTAGAGAGAACTAAGAGGAAATAAAAATATTAATGCTGTCTTTCGGCTCTGCTTGCCTAATTTGCAAGGGTTCATATTTTAAGGCGACTAGAGGAATATGGGGCAGGCTCCTTTTTTAAAAGATTTATTTCTTTATTTTAGAGAGAGAACATGTGTGCATGAGTGGGGGGAGGGGCAGTGGGAGAGGGAGAGAAAGAATCTCAAGCAGACTCCCCACTGAACACAGAGCTGGACATGGGGCTCAATCTCAGGACCCATGAGATCATGACCTGAGCCAAAATCAAGAGTCACACACTTAACCGACTGAGCCACCACCCAGGTGCCCTTGGGCAGGCTCCTTTCAGCCAGCAAAGTTCATGAGTTGAGCAGAAAGTTCTATAAACCCAGACGAAGATCAGAAACTAGATAAAGACTGACAAAGCAAGAGCGAAGGAGGAAGAGCTCACTTTGGAGAAAATGAACACAAACCAATATAATCTCAAAGAAACGAAGATGAGAAATAGAGTGGTTTTTTTTTAAAGATTTATTTATTTGAGAGAGCGAGAATGAGAGAGAGAGAGTACATGAGAGGGGGGAGAGTCAGAGGAAGAAGCAGGCTCCTCGCTGAGCAGGGAGCCTGATGCGGGACTCGATCCCGGGACTCCGGGATCATGACCCGAGCTGAAGGCAGTCGCTTAACCACCTGAGCCACCCAGGCGAGTGTTTGACATTAGCAGTAAAACTTCAACTGGATTGTACTGTTAAAAGCCATCATGAAGGGGTGCCTGGGTGGCTCAGTTGGTTAAGCGTCTGCCTTTGGCACAGGTCATGATCCTAGGGTCCTAGGATGGAGTCCTGCACTGGGCTCCTTGCTCAGCAGGGAGTCTGCTTCTCCCTCTGCCCCTCCCCCAGCTCGTTCTCTCTCTCTCTCTCAAAAATAAATAAAAATCTTAAAAAAAAGCCATCATGAAACAAACAACATGCATGGACCTTGAGGGCATTATTCTAAGCGAAATAAGTCAGAGAAAGACAAATACCATATGATCTCACTTATATGTAGAATCTAAAAACCAAAACAAAAAAACCCCTGAAATCATAGATACAGAGAACAGATCAGTGGTTGTCAGAGGTAGGGGATGGGTGAAATGGATGAAGGGGGTCAAAAGGTATATACTTCCAGTTATAAAATAAATAAGTCATGGGGATGTAATGTACAGCACGGTGACTGTCAATAACACTGTATTGTATATTTAAAAGGTACTAGGAGAGTAGATCTTAAAAATTCTTAAAAGAAAAAATTTGTAACTGTGGTGATGGGTATTAACTAGATTTATTGTGATTTCACAATGTATACAAATATTGAATCATTATGTTGTACACCTAAAACTAATACAATGTCAATTATATCTCAATTTAAAAAGTGCAGGGGCACCTGGGTGGCTCAGTTGGTTAGGCGGCTGCCTTCGGCTCGGGTCATGATCCTGGAGTCCCTGGATTGAGTCCCGCATAGGGCTCCCTGCTCGGCGGGGAGTCTGCTTCTCCCTCTGACCCTCCCCCCTCTCGTGTGCTCTTATTCTCTCTCTCTCAAATAAATAAAATCTTAAAAAAATAAATAAAAAATAAAAAGTGCAACCTCCCCAAAATCCATCACAAAACAAAGATAAACTTGGAATTTAAGTCAATTCCCCAATATCTACTATGTGTTAGTCACTAAATAAATTGTAGCAAGAATAGGGCTTAAAATAAGTATAAAAACTTAAATGTAATCAATCATACTTTCAGAACAAGAAAATGAAAAGTAGTAGCTATATGGCAAAAAAAATGGAAATTAGGGGCGCCTGGGTGGCTCAGTTGGTTAAGCGACTGCCTTTGACTCAGGTCATGATCCCGGAGTCCTGGGATCGAGTCCCACATCGGGCTCCGGGCTCAGCGGGGAGCCTGCTTCTCCCTCTGACCCTCTCCCCTCTCATGCTGTTTCTCTCTCTCTCTCTTAAATAAATAAATAAAATCTTTAAAAAAAAATGGAAATTAGAATTTGGTAGTTGTCAAACAAAAAAGAATAACAAATTCTGAATGTGGACTCGGCATTATGCCTAGAAATACTTTGATTTGTTCAAGGAAGGTTAAAGACGAAACAACAGGTTGTATCATGATCCATTTTCCTTGAAAAAAATGAATAGTGTTTGATTCCCTATTTCAAAAAACCTCTTATTTTTAATTATAATTTTACTTTCTCATCTAAATTTCTCCAATGGTTGACAGCAGGAACTACAGAACTAAAGATTATAATAGGCTTCAAGTTCTGAGGTTAAAAAGCCCAAAAGTAAAAAAATTCTGAGAAGAATCCAAGTCAGAGAAGGTACCCATGAGAGAAGAATCTGAGGATTATAGATGATATGACAGTATCAGGTGTCTCCAATAAATGATTTCTCTTTTTTTTTTAGATTTTATTTATTTGTCAGGGAGAGAGCACAAGCAGGGGGAGCGGCAGAGGCAGAGGGAGAAGCAGGCTTCCTGCTGAGCAAGGAGCCCGACATGGGACTCCATCCCAGGACCCTGGGATCATGACCTGAGCCGAAGGCAGCCGCTTAACGCCACCCAGGTGTCCCCCACTCCAAGTTTAAAAGTTCTCCTAGTACAGGAGGCCAGATAGAATGAGGCATTTAACTCAAGGCCAGCTGCTCACTTCCCTATTAGCTAACTAGAGCTCTAAACCTATCAAACCAAGGAACCACATCCTAGGCTGTGGTCATCTCAGCAATGTAGCTATTTTACTTAATCCTCCTAATTTTGTTTTTACAGAAGAGTAAACAGAGGTGCAAAAATGTACTGATTTACCCAAGGGTCACATCTCTCCACCCATTCTAGCCTTTGGAAGTGGCGGTGGTATTCCACTTCTCAATTCACTTTTCTGTTGAATTTACTATTAAACTGGTCTTTCAGGGTTTGATGAAATCTGGGAAAAACAACATGAATTTACCACACCAACAGAGCTGACCAAACAGGACCTAGGGAAAAGCTACTTCATAGGCCCAATTGACGTCCAGTTAAGAGTTATACCAAGAGTCTCAGAAAAGAGCAGGCTAGGTTAGTGGGAATATCCTCTGTGTAAATTAGCACAGACACAGAGACTGGATGGTCTAAAAGCAGGGACTAAGAAAAACTGTTTTTAGGCCAAATCCAATGTTGGGAAAAGACAGGATTTAAGTGATCAATGATTTTTAAACTCTGATGTCAAGAAACCAATGAACAACCAAGGGAGGTGGCTTGGGCACAGAAGGATAGGGCCCATGATATGTAGTGGTCACCATGGATACTTTTAAAATGAGGCATTAGTGGAAAGGGAGTGAGATCAGCAACTGTAGTGATAGCTTATCAAAATAATCTTTTATTCAATCTCAACAGTATTTACTGAGCTTCTAAATGCAAGGCAGAATGGAAGGTAACACACACTGATAAATTGCCAAATGTTGTTTATATTTCTACACATTTCATTATTTTTTCTATCAGTGAAGTCAGTAAGTGAGGCAGTTACTGGTGTACACTAAACCATTACTGAATTAATGAATATGCCTTCAACCAAGTGGAAAAGGGAGTGGGGAGACTGGAGGAACCAGTTGAATGGGGTTAAGAAAAGGCACTTCTGTAAGGTTAAGCGTTTCTATAACACTTCTACTTTTTGCAAACCATTTTTGCATTTATTACTCTTCCAGTTACAACTTCAAAGTCTATAAGGTAAAGGCAGTTAATGTTTTTATTTAACTGATGAGGACACCAAGACCCAGAAAGCATTACTGACTTGCCCAAGGTTACACAACACATGTCAGTTGCAGAGGCAGGAACTAAAAACCCAGGCTTCCTGCTTCAACGCCCGCCTGTTGAGTCCTTCCACTGAACCACACTGCCAGGAGAGATCTGGCGGCTTGGGAGTTGGGGACAAAGCCCCAAGCCTACAGCACTCGCACTTCACACCTGGGCCTGAACCTGTTACCCACGCAGCCTCAGGGGGAAGAGGGTGGGTGGCTTGTCACGGTTTGGGGTTGGGAGTTGGCAGGCTCCCCTCCTCCGTGGGAATCAGGTGGTTACTTACTCATATTGACCGTTCCTTTGGGCTAGCGTCAGGGCGCAGGGCTCCCGGAGAGTACCCTTCAGCTCCATACCCTCGATAGTATGCAGGCACTAGTCAAGGGTCTCCTCCAGATGCGCGGCCAGGGAGGGGTGGCGCGGTGCGGGTTGGAGGGAGGCTCCGACCCCTCTGCCCGCCCTCCCCACTGCCCAAGGCATCGCCTCCCGCGCCGGCCCCCTTTCCCCGCTCCGCTCGGCCTCTGGGCCCGACCGCCCCCCAACCCCTCCACCGCGTTCCGCAGTTCCCCCGACCCCCACCCCCCCGCCAGCCCTGCCTGGCCTCCCCTCCCCCTTCCCTCAGGCGGATACGGCAAGGGGCTGGGCTCCGACCGGGAGCCGCGGCTCCATCCCGGCGGCCTCCGGGCTCAGTGGAGCTGCGGACTGCGGGCGGATCCGACGACACTGCCTCCCACGTCCTCACCCACAGTCCTCGGCTGCGCGTCGTTTGAGGAACAGCTCCGCGCAGGGCACCGGGAGCCGGGAGCCGGGAGCCGAGCCGAGAGCCGAGAGCCTGACCCGAGAGAGAGCGGCGCCTGGCGCCCCCGCCAGTTTTCCAGGCCGCCGCAGATTTCGCCCCCTGCGGCCAACCTGCGGAACTGCAGCGAGAGACCCGACGGACCGGGGGCGTCTCTACCACGTCCAGGGAGGAGTGCGTTTTAAATGCGGCCCGTGACACCAGGATTGTTCTGTGGGCTTCGAAGATTGCCGTAGAAACAAAACACAGCTATAACTATGAGAGAACTAAAATGTGTTGGGCCAATAGGACCTAAATCCAGTAAAAAAAATCCTTATTACAGTTAATAACACACCTTGCTGGTTATCCTACCTCTCAAATGTTTTCCCCTTCCCCTTCTTCCTTCCACCACCTAAATCTTTAGAAAAATCCCCAAAGCTCAGATCTTAGCAAGATCTTACTTTGTGCCCCCCCCAGGTCATCTCTAAGGAGACAACGACCAAATACACTTCCCAGGTCCAGACCCCTGCCCAACATATCCCACTGGTTAACACAATACTGGATGACAAAACTAACTCATCATTTAACACAGCCGCTCAGGCTTGAAACTTCGAAGCCATGTTCTTTCTTCCTTTCTCCTAATTTCCCTGTATCCAATTGGTCAACAAACGTTATTAATATTTTCTTTGGAATTACTTTCAGATTCCTTGTTTTCTCTCCATTTGCACCCCCATCACTTTACTGGTTGTCCTTGTGATCTCTCCTTTGACCGTTTTACTCTGTTGATAACCATAAGAACATTCTTCCCCGGAGTAATGTTTCAATTGTGTTTTTTACTTGCTCAAGAATCTACAGTGGAGGGCGCCTGGGTGGCTCAGATGGTTAAGCATCTGCCTTCGGCTCAGGTCATGATCCCAGGGTCCTGGGATCGAGTCCCGCATCGGGCTCCCTGCTCCTTGGGAGCCTGCTTCTCCCTCTGCCTCTCTCTCTCTCTGTCTTTCATGAATAAATAAATAAAATCTTAAAAAAAAAAGAATCTACAGTGGAGTGGATAGCAAGACTGATCTTAAAGCTATAGTAAGTATGACAGTGTGGAGCTGGTCAGACCAATAGAACAGATTACAGAGCCCCAAACAGATCCACACACATATACGGAAAGTCGATATACAACATATATGGCATTCCAAATCAGTGGAAAAAGAATGGATTATTCACTAAATCGTTCTGGGACTCTTTTTTTTTAAGATTTTATTTATTTATTTGACAGAGAGAGACACAGCGAGAGAGGGAATACAAGCAGGGGGAGTGGGAGAGGGAGAAGCAGGCTTCCCGCTGAGCAGGGAGCCCGATGTGGGACTCGATCCCAGGACCCTGGGATCATGACCTGAGCTGAAGGCAGACGCTTAACGACTGAGCCACCCAGGCACCCATTCTGGGACTCTTGATCATCCATATAGAAAATTATAAAACTAGATCCCTACCTCATACCATATAGGAAAAAATCAATTCCAAGTGGATTCAAGATCCAAACGTGAAAAAGCAAAGCTTTAAAACTTTCAGAAGAAAATAGGAGAATATCTTTATGAGCTTGGAATAAGGAATAACTACTGAAGACACCAGACAGCACAAACAATTAAGGAATTGATAGATACGTTTAACTACATTAAATTTCAAAATGCAGGTACTTCAAGACAACATAAACAAGTTAAAAGACAAGCCATAGACTGGGAGAAGATATTTTTGATATATTTAACTGACAAAAGATAACCTATGAGGTTCTATACTTCTAGCTGTCATCACCTTACAGAATTCTCTCCCACCACTCTCTGCAACTCACTCTGCCTAGTCACACTGCTCCTTGTTATTCCTAGAACTTTCTAGGCACACTCTTGCCTCAGGGCCTTTGCACTTGCTGTTTTCCTGCACTTTCACCTCCTTCAGGTCTTTGCTCAAATGTCACTTTCTCAGTGAAGACTTCCTAGACAACTTTATTTAAAATTGCAATTCAACGGGCGCCTGGGTGGCTCAGATGGTTAAGCGTCTGCCTTCGGCTCAGGTCATGATCCCAGGGTCCTGGGATCGAGTCCCGCGTCGGGCTCCCTGCTCCTTGGGAGCCTGCTTCTCCCTCTGCCTCTCTCTCTCTCTCTCTGTCTTTCATGAATAAATAAATAAAATCTTTAAAAAAAATTGCAATTCAACAATCTCCTTACCCACTTTCACAAAAACATGCCTTTTCATTCATCTTCCATGTTCATTTTTTCCCATAAGATTTATCACTATCCATTATTTTATGTATTTTACTTATTGATCTTGTCTATTATTTACCTTCCCCCATGAGAGTGTAATTTCCACGAGGGCAGAAATTTTGTCTGTTTTGTTCATAACTACATTCCCAGAACCTACAACCATTATTGGAACAAAGTATATACTAGAAAAATATTGAGGGTGCCTGGGTGGCTCAGTTGGTTAGGCGACTGCCTTCGGCTCAGGTCATGGTCCTGGAGTCCCGGGATCGAGTCCCGCATCAGGCTCCCTGCTCAGCGGGGAGTCTGCTTCTCCCTCTGACCCTCTTCCCTCTCGTGCTATCTCTCATTCTCTCTCTCTCAAATAAATAAATAAAATCTTTAAAAAAATGGTAAAGATGGAAAATTAAAAAAAAGAAAAATATTGATTAAATTAATGAATGAATTAGTGTCCAGAATGTATAAGACCTCTTATAAATCAGTGAGAAAAAGAAAGAAACCTAGTAGAAAAATTGACAAAATATATGAATAAGCAATTCATATTCAAAGAAACTCAAATGGCCAATAAAGACATGTAAGGATGGGGGTGCCTGGCTGGCTCAGTCAGAAGAGCATGTGACTCTTGATTTCAGAGTCATGAGTTCAAACCCCACGAGCCCCGTGGTGGGTGTAGAGATTACTTAAATAAATAAAAACTTAAAAAAAAGACATGAAAGGATGTTTCACTTCATTACTATTCAGAGAAATTGAAAACTAAAATGATGAGGTAGCATTTCACAACTATTGGTTCGGCAAAATTTAAAAATTCAGGTAACACCAAGTGTTGTTGAGGATGTAGAACAGATGAAACTCTGATCCACTGCTAGAAGGAGCATAAGCTGGTAGAACTGCTGTGAAGAGAAATTTGACTTTGCCTAATAAAGTTGAATATGTAATACACTTCAACCCAGAACTCTAACCTTTATGCACAAGAAGACATGTAAAAGAACACTCATTGCAGGGATGCCTGGGTGGCTCAGTCAGTTGGGCAAAGGCTCTTGATTTCAGCTCCATCATGATCTCAGGTTCGGGGTCTCAGGGTTGTGGGATCGAGCCCCACATCAGGCTCCACCCTCAGTGCAGAGTCTGCTTGGGATTCTCTCCCTCTGCTCCTACCCCCAACTAGCACGCATGTGCGATCACACACGTGGTCTCTCTCAAATAAATACATAAATAAATTAAAAAAAAGAATGTTCATTATAGCATTACTTGTACTCTCAAAAAAAAGGGGAAGCAAAGTAAATGTCCATCAGCAGGTGAATGGACAAATAAATCACAGTATTCATGAAGTTAAATACTATTTTGAAACTAAAATGAATAATTCGAGCTATGTATTAACAGAGTTAAATCTCAAAACATAATGTTGAGCAAAAAGAGCAGAACATGTGCAGTAGACTACTTACATAAAGTCTGAAAATATTATCTGTTGCTTGAACATGTGCAGTAGACTACTTTATATAAAGTCTGAAAATATTATCTGTTGCTTATGGCTATGTAGATGAAATAGTAATAGTATATAAAACATGAAAGGGCATAATCATCACCAAATTCAAGGGCGGGAGTGGATTGAGACTGGGGAGAGGCATACAGGTAATATCAGTTATATCTATATTTATTTCTTTAAACAAAATCTAAAAGTTAGTGTTACAAGATTCGATAGAACTGGGTGGTGGGTACATATATTGGTTATATTATTTTATGTACTTTCCTGCATTTGAAATTGTTTGCAATCAATGAAAATGAAAAGCAAGGAAGTAATATGCAGGGGAAGTTTAGCAGTGTCAAATGCTGCATGGAAAAATGAGGATAGAGAGACTTTTTGGATGTGTCAAGGAAGTCACTGGAGACCACTAAGTAAGTGGTTTCAGTAAGTAGTGAGGAGGGAAATAAGATGACAGGGAATTGAGAAGGGACTGTATTGTGAGGAAATGGAAACAAGATACCATGTACTGAAGAGGCTTGGAAATAAAAAGCAGTGAAATACAATTTTAATTCAATTAATTAGAAGAGTCAGAAATTCTTGACAAAACCTGAAGCCATTTTAAAGCAAAGGGGAAGGGCCCCTGAAAGGGAGAAATTTAAGATACTAGAAGAGGGAAGCAGAAAAGTTATAAGAAAAATCCTCCAGGGGCACCTGGGTGGCTCAGTCAGTTAAGCATCTGCCTTCAGCTCAGATGTTGGGGGTCCTGGGATTCAGCCCTGCTTTGGGCTCCCTGCTCAGCGGGGAGCCTGTTTCTCCCTCTCCCTCTGCCCCGCTCCCCCCCCATGCTCAATCTCTCTCAAATAAATAAATAAAATCTTAAAAAAAAAATCCCCTGGTGATTGGGAAGAACAAGGATCCAAGGTACAGATGGAGGAATCAACTTTATTTATGTATTTATTTATTTATTTTTAAAGATTCTATTTATTTATTTGACACAGAGAGACAGCGAAAGCAGGAACACAAGCAGGGGGAGTGGCAGAGGGAGAAGCAGGCTTCCCGCTGAGCACAGAGCCGGATGGAGGGAGCTGGATGCGGGCCTCGATCTCAGGACCCTGAGATCATGACCTGAGCCGAAGGCAGACGCTTAACGACTGAGCCACCCAGGCGACCCAGGAGTCAACTTTCGGGAAGAGGAGAGAGATTTCTTCCTCCAAATCTACATATCTTCAGCATCTAAAACAGTGCCCAGCATATAGTGGGGTACTCAAATATTTGTTGTAAAGATTAAGAGGTTGTGAATAAATGGAAATACATTAGGGTGAAGA